CGGGGTGAAAGCAGCCGGGCAGCAGCCCCCGCAGCTGCAGCCCTTCCCCCGGGCTGTGCCTGGATGCCAGGAGGAGGACGGAGCGGGCACTGCTGCCCCTTCACCCCGGGGCGATGCAGGAGGCCGCGCGGTGCCCGTGGAGCACAACTGGCGCCGCTCGCAGGGGCAACCACGAGGCTCCAGCAAGATCCCGCTCTCCTGAGCTGTTTGCTCGGCTCATTCCACTCCTGCTTTTGTAGCCTGCCCTTCCCGTCTCTCTCAGCAGCCTCCTGCAAGGTGGCAGGGAATTTAATCAGGTCAGAAATCTATGGAGGAACAGGATCACGAGCTGTCACTTGCGGAGAAGCTTGCTGGCACCCCCAGGGACTGAGCAAAGCCCGGGTGGCCATACAGGCTCCCCTGGACTGCTGCATTTAATGACCAGTGTTTCTTCTCAGGGGTCCCAAGTGGTGTGTTCCAGACACACACCTTCAAAGTGTAGTTCTGTGGTACATAGGGGAAGGTGCATCTTCCTCCTGCTTTCTTCCCAAATTCCTTCTTTAAAAGCCAAGGGAAGAGCAGGGATGGGCCCTGCAATGTTTACAGCAGAGTTGTTGCTGCACAGAGTGCTTCCAGGCTGAGGGAAGCATCTGGTACCTGAAGTACCCAGCTCTGCAGAGCCATCATTCTCCTTCAGTGACCTACAAAGCTGCACAAGGAGCTGTGCTCTTTTTAGCTTCACCGGGGTGTAAAGAAAAAGAGGATTTATTTTTCCAAAAAAAACCAGCCAACCCAGCCTGTGCACACAAGAACCTCCGTGCCGCGGACCTGCTCACCTCCGTGCTTCCCGAATGAGCCCGAGCTTCCTGCAGTCCTCACCCAGAGCCAGGGATCTGCAGGGAGCTTTGCTTCACCTCGCGAGCAGCTGAGCTCGCAGCTTTCCACACATATCCCGTTACCACTCAGCTGCTGCTTTCTGATCATGTAACATCTTTCAACATCCACGTCCTTCTCACCCAGTGACCTAAGCTGCTAGCGAGAAAACCCAGGAGACTGAGAGACAACCCTGCCCACATCCTCCACCGCGGGGGACACCATCCCACGAGGCCGCAGCTTGCATCCTAACAGCCGCTTTCTCCTGTTTACCACCTTGTGCAGATAACGATCAGACTGTCACGGAAACATTCCAACAGGGAACGGTGGCGTTTCCAGAGCCCCCAAGTGCTGGCTCCCCTCCGTCTCCTCAGCGCCGGCCCGCGCAGCCTCCCGCGGGTTTGCTGCAGTTGGCAGTGCCAGAGAAGCCGCAGGAGCAGCGCCCAGAGCAGTCGCTTCGGCTCGGGACGGGGCAGCACCTGCAGCAGAGACACCCGTCTCGTCACAGAGCTGGGGTCCGGCACAGCTGAAGCCTGGGGGCCGTGCCAGGGCCATGGCTGAAAGGGCAAGTCAGGCTTATTTTGGTGTGTGCAAAGCTGCGCAGCGGCCGCAGGGCTCGAGCACGCTGCAGGAAGGGCCACCTTGATCAGGGAGGAAAGGAGCCCACGAGGGTGATGGATCAGGAGACGCCAGAGCCGAGCTCGTCCTGGGCTGAAGGCAGGAGCCTCATGGTCTGCAGAGCTGTTCTGCTGGTCTGCCCACGCTCAGTCGCTGCTAATGCAATATCCTGCCTACTGATGGAGAGTGATCCCTAAAGAGCAAGACTCCGGCCTTGTGCCCTTCTTGGGAAGGAAAGCAAGCCCCACGCTTTTAAGCCTCTCAAGCTGTTTCTTTCATCTTTATGCGAGAAGCACACAGCCAGCTTCAGTCATTTCTGCTGGGACCTCCACGGGGAGCCGGAGGGCACAAGGATCCCCTTCTCCAGCTCAGTTGATGCCAGATGGGGGCTGGCCCGGGCCACCGCTCAGCCCTGGTGCAAAAGCCCCTGTGACACTCATGCTCCAAAGCCAACGCGAAGCCTGCAGACCTGCGGCAGCGCCCAGGCCACGCTCCCTCTCTGGAGCTTTGTGAGAACCAGTCTGCAAAGAACTGACATTTTTGTGACACAGGGTGGGCGAGCAGGGGGCCTGGAGCATGTCCCCTTGCAGGGGAGCAGGGTTGACAGTGTCTGCATACAGGCAGGTGAGCTGAGAAGCTGCAGCCACTGAACAGCAAAACCACAGGAGCAGTCACATCAAAACACACTCCCTAGGATCCATACGTAAACAGTGAATTTTGCTGCCCACTGTTTCTATCTTTTGCCAAATCGTTTTTGGCAAATCTGACTTTGCACTCTCTGTTCTGCAGCCCAAGCCAACCTGCCAAATGGAAAATAAATTTGCTCTGCCCATGGTACCGAGATAGAGGAGGACTTCAGTGTCCGGGTTCAGGGGAGACGTCATGGTGTGCGAGGGCTGGTGAGCCCTTGGCACAGAGGAGGGTCCTGGCAGGGCTGTCACCAAGCCCCCTGGCTGCTGTGACAGCCCCTGTGCCCTGGCGTGGCCGCATCAGCAAAGGCTCACACGCCGCCCAGCCCGTCCTGTCACTGCACAGTCTTCAATGTACAACGGCCTCCAGAAAACAGGTTAAAGTTTAAGCCACTTGAAACCAAGCTGCTCCCACTGGGGTGCAAAGTACCAGGCAGCACTAGAAAGCTGCTCTCATTTAACCGTGTTGCTTTATTAAAGCTGCAACACCAAAGCGTTTCCATCTTATGGAAACGTGGGTTTGTTTGTTTTTTTAACAGAGGAAGGAGTATTCCCAATGGCAGCCCCTTCATCCAGCTGAAACTGCATCCACACTGGGGCTTGCTGGAATAAAACCACTTTACAGATTATTCCAGCAAAATTCACCAGGACTCGAGTTCGAAATGTGATTGAATTGCACATGTCCAGCATCGATCCTTTGGGAGCAAGAAGACTCTAAAGGAGTTGGTTACCAGCAGGAGGAGGGACAGAAGAGATGCTATTTCCAGATGAAAACAGATTAATTCTTCTGAAGTGGAAGAACAGAGGAACAGCTTTTGTTGGTCAAATCACCTGGCTCCTCTACTTTGCAGATTAAATACAGATCAAACCACCACCACCCTTGGAAATACTGCCCTGGTGAAAACTGGGAGACAAAAACAGAGCACCCACGGGCTGGCAGCACGACAAGTCAAGCAGGATGAGGATCAGAGGAGAGGGCTGGATCATCCCATCCCTTCCTTTCAGCTTCTGATAATTTTAAGAGGAAAAAAGCTTACTAAGGTTAAAATGAATAAACAAAAGAACAGGACGCAGCCATTTGCAGTTTCTTCGTACCTCAAATGTAGACTC